CATGTTCTCAAGACTCCAATGGCCACTCCGCCGTCTGTTTCTATGTGTGGTTATTTGTAATTAATGACTGAGGGAGTGAGCTCAGGGAGAACAGGGAGAACAGGGACCTATCCAGGGCCTGGCACTGTCTCTGACACATGCTGGTTCCTTGATAAATATTTTAGAAGGGAGGGAGGGAGAGGGAGGCAGAGGGAAAGGGAGGGTAGATCTCTGGCCTCATTCAGAGGCAGTCAAAACTGTGCAGGGAGGAGAGTAAATACACAGGGCTGGGGTAGCCAAGAAAATGAATTTCCAAAGTAGGGAGAGATTTTAGGGAGAGGAGATAGAAGAACAGTCTAGGCCAGGGGAATAGCATGAATGAACAGGTGGAACTGGAATGTGCAAGGCCAGTTTGGGGAATTTTGAGGCAACCAGTTTACCGGGTTTATGCCAACTGGTAAAGGTCTGTGATTGCTGAGTTGAAGAGTTTGGACCTTACCCTTCAGGTAATACAGAGCTTAAAAAAAAAAAAAAAAGGTTCATGAGCAGCGGGATGAAATAATGAAACCTACCAGTTCAGTGAGGCAATCTTTATGCAGAGGTAAGTCTGGAGGCAGGGAGGCCAGGGAGGAGGCTCGAGAGAGAGAAGGTGGGGCTTGAGTTCCGGCAGTGATAAGAAGGCAGGAGGCAGGGAGGATGGCACAGGCAGAACACCCTTCTCCACTGGTCAAAGCCCCATTCACTTTGTGCTTTGGGAGAGGCTGGTGGGCTGTTGAAGAGCCTGGGCTCTGGAGTTAGAGTAGCCTGGGTTTGAATCCCAGCTGAGAGCCCCTGGGAAAGTCACCTAGGCTCTCAGAGCCTCTCTATCTATGAAATGAGAACAGAGTTGGCAGCATAATTTTAGGACCCAGTGCAAAATGAAAATGTGAGCCCCTGTCTAAAAAAGAGGAGGGAAAAACGTGCCATCGAAGGTACTAAAATATAAAGCTTTTCCTTTCTTCTGCAATCTCTGCTTTACTGGCCACAGTGGGGTTTTTTATTTGCTATTTACTCTTCTAAGTAAAGACAAAGGCAAAATTTAAATTATTAGCCTGAATCATATCATTCATCTTCATTTTGTGCAATGCCAGTTTTAAATGCAAAATTAAGAGCATTTCACTCACACGTTCAATCACTAAAATGACACCAATTGTATTTCATAGCCTGTGTGTGCTTATGTGGGCCCAGCACACTTCCATTGCGCAACTCTGTTGTGCATGCATATATATTTAGTTTGGACCAGAACAGCAGGAATACTGCACAACACTTACTCACTGCTTTTATTTCACTTGTTTCACATCCTAGCCCTTGGGCTCACGCATGAATAAGGATGTACTGAAAGAAAAGGGAACTCTGGGTTGCCCTTCCTTTCCTTTTCTTCTAAGGACATCCTTTCTAATATAAATGGTTGGTGAATGCTGGGAAATAACATGAGTAAGAAAGTGTTTCTTAGGACACTACTGCCTTCTTTTGGCTTTGAAGCAACCTCTGGTTCAAAGGGAAAGTATGGCCTCTCAGGGTGGTCAGCACTCTCACTTACTCAGTAATAGATATAACACACTTACTTTATATTTGGTTTGAGTCTCACTGAACTCCCATGAGTCCACCAGAATTCTGAGCTCATGAAGCATCACAGACTCTGTATTTGAATGGGACAGCATATTCGGCACATCCTCTCTGCTCACACACATGCCCTGCTGACTTCACTTACAAAGCAGAAGTTCAGATATAATATTATTAAGAATTTCAAGACAATGATAGCAGAGCATTAACCAACCATCAGGCCCTGTGTGACCACACAGTTTGTATGCCCACACAGCTGGCCCTGCCTGGGGATAATAATTGTGTAGTACTTACTCCAGCGTTGTTGTGAGGATTAAATTCAAAGCTGGGCCTATCTGACTCTAGTCACAGCCCTTTGGCTGCAAAAGACAAAACCTGCTCAAACTGTGACAAATAAAGGTAGATCTACGCAAAGAGCGCACAACTGTACCTTGTGGAATCTTCGGCAGCCAAGGGCAGAAGTACAGTAGAAGCTCTGAGGAACTTGGATGCCATTAAGCAGTCTTTGTCTCTGCCTCTCTCTCCTCTCTGACACTACACGGTATCTTGACTCAATTTCTTACTTCATGTAGACTTGGTTTTCCCCTCTGCTTTCCCACTGCTGTACTTCAGATGATGTTAACTCTGGCCCTTTTAACTCTAATCCAAGTACCTATGGTCTTCTGGATATAATCTTCGGCTCAACGCTTAAACTCTCAAGAGGGAGTTTGATTGGCTCAGCTCACCTGCCTACGGCTGAGCTACTCCTGGCCCAGGGCCCTCCCCTGACCACTCAGCTGGGGAGGGGGACTACATGAGCAGTTCAGGCTGCCTCCCAGGTATCCTCCGTCAGCCCCAAACACACAGCTGCCCTTAGACACCTCCACCTGGAGTCCCCCAGGCCCCTTACACTCCACTTGGCCCCAAATGCAGCCCCTGACTCCTCTTCCCACATCAATCGGCTAAACCCGTCACCCACCCAGCTACTGAAGCCAGAAACTTGGGGGTTAGCTGTGACTCCTAACTATCTCTCACTACTAAATTACTAGATCCTGTCCATCACAGCCCTCTCTGCCTTGGTTCACACTGTCTCATTTTTTGTCAGGAAGATTGCAGGGTCCCTTCAGCCTCTGCTCCCCACTTCAAAAGCTTCAGGGGGAAGCTCCATCTCTTATCATTTAAAAAGCTTTCAGTACAACAAACTGGGGGTTGCTGGAGTGGTGGGGGGTGGGAAGGATGGGGTGGCTAGGTGATACACATTGGGGAGGGTATGTGCTATGGTGAGCACTGTGAATTGTGCAAGACTGTGGAATCACGGATCTGTACTTCTGAAACAAATAATGCAATATATGTTAAGGAAAAAAAAAAAGAAGATAGCAGGAGGGGAAGAATGAAGGGGAGTAAGTCGGAGGGGGAGATGAACCATGAGAGACTATGGACTCTGAAAAACAAACTGAGGGTTCTAGAGGGGAGGGGGGGGGGGGGGATGGGTTAGCCTGGTGATGGGTATTAAAGAGGGCACATTCTGCGTGGAGCACTGGGTGTTATGCACAAACAATGAATCATGGAACACTACATCAAAAACTAATGATGTAATGTATGGTGATTAACATAACAATAAGAAATTATAAAAAAACTAATGATGTAATGTATGGTGATTAACATAACAATAAAAATTAAAAAAAATAAAAATAAAAAAATTTAAAAAAAGCCTTCTGTACAAAATCCAGGCCATTATATAGACAATGAAGGTTCTCAGTGTCAAAGTCCAGTCTCTCTGACTTACCTTCCTGATCCTGGTGTTCATGCTCCTTATGATCCAGCCATGCTGAGGTACTGAATCACTGTCTCTGGCACACAGTTTAGGTTTCCCACCTTCAACACAGGCTGTTTTTTCTGACTGCAACACCCTCTTCTTCACATGTCTAAATCTTTCTAAGACCTACCTTCCCCCATGCTCCTCCACCTTGGCCCCCTCAGGTGAGGTGAGGCAGGCATGCCTACCGCCAGACAGGCTGTAAGTTCTGCCACCCATCTGTCCTGTGAGGGAGTTAGAAAGAGCTAGGACCAGATGCCAGGACTGAAGTTCTCAGTACATGGCAGCTGGGAGGTGGGGAGGATAGACCTGCCCTTTGGACAGCATGCCTGTGACCACGTCACTTTGGCCACCAGCTGTTTGTCCGACTGCAGATAAAGCCCAACCCCACTGAGTGTCTCTATGCTCAAGGAGGCATAGTGAGGATGAGACAAAGGAGGAGGACCACAGTTCTGTCCTGACAGGAAGAGATCAGGAGCTGGGGGTACACATGGTCTGGGGCGGGGTCAGCAACCAGGGGCCAGGCTGGACGCTGGGGCTTGTGTGTGCAGTTGCAGTATCTGGGAAGGCTTTCTGGCTGCAGAGGCACTATAGGGTTTAGGGTTTGAACAGCTGACTGGGTGGGCTCAATCCTGGAATCTATGACCTTGTGCGGCCAAGGTGGACCCCAGAGGGGGAAGACAGCAGAGGCCAGCTTGGTGGGAGGTACGACGGCCCATGGGATGAGACTGGCTGGGTCTTAAGCTGAAAAGGGTGCCTGAAGTAGATTGCTCTCTCTGCTCCTCTTTTTGGTGGGGTGAGTAGTTTCTGCCTTCCCACAGCTTGCTTCCCTGACCTGCAGCCCTTTCTCTTGTCTCCCCTAGAGCGGCTGGAACTCAGAAAGCACAGCGCTGGAATGGGGGTTCCTCCGTCCCTCCCCATCCCCAGCTCAGGATCACTCTCCCTGGGGGCCCTGGCCAGAGGCCTCCACCCCACCCCCTCAGGCCTCTGGGGATCCCCACGCCCACCTCGGAAGTTACATTTCCTGCTGGGGTGAGGGTGTGAGTCCAAGGGAACAAGACTGGTTTTCTTTCTCTTATACCGGTTCATTGTCAGAGGTTCGGTTACGTGAGGAATAACCGTGCACGTCTGAAAATCTGGAAGGGATAAAGAAAGCACAAACTTCAAAAGAAGAAAACATCAAGTAATCTCCTCCGTAGTAGATGCGCTCATTCACAGGCTTTCGGGTTCTGTTTAGATCCAGGGTCACCCTTTGCATAATTCAAATTCGGGGGTAGGAAGCCCTTCTACGGACACCTCTATTTTGCCACCTCTCTGAACCCAGGAAGGCTCAAAAGAAGGCAGCTCACAGACCCGGGTCCGCAGCCTGCCGCAGCTCTCGCCCCCTAGGGGCGCCCGGAGCTCTGCGGACAGAGGCCGAGACCCCTCCCGGCCACGCTCGGCCCTCCCCTCGCAGGCTGCCTCAGTTCCCTCTTCCGCAGAATGGGCGGGCAGCTCAGCCTCCGGGTCCCCGGGTGCTGCGGGGGCGGGGCAGCGGCAGGCTCGCTAGGGCTGCCGGAAGGGGTGTGAATGCGGGGGCGGGCTCCGCGCCGCCCCGCCCCGGGGAGGGAGCCCAGGGCGCCGCATCCTGGCGCTGGCCTCCGAAGCCGCTGCCGCCACTGCCGTCGGGGAAGGTCCCAGCGCTGACATGACCTCGCGCGGCGCTCGCCCGGGCCCAAGCTCCCGGCGTCCCGCGCAGTAGCCCCGCGAAGAGGCGGACTCGACGGTGCCGACCGCGTAGAAAATCAGGCGGCCGGCATGGAGGCGGCGCACCTGCTCCCGGCCGCCGACGTGCTGAACCGCTTCTCGGTGAGGGTCGACAGCGGCCTGAGGCCGGAGCAGGTGTCTGGCGCGCGGGAGCGCTACGGCCCCAACGGTGAGAGCGCGGGCCTGGCCGGGGAATCTAGGGGCCGCACGCGCCGCAGTCTCCGTTTACTCCCCTATGCCGAAACCCGGGAGCGGTCCTCCCCCTTTCCAGCCCTCGGTCCCCGCGGGCGGGCAGGAAGCGAGAGCTCCGGAAACTTCTGCAGATGCTCTTAGGGCGCTCGGACTGGCTGCGCGGCCACCTTTGCGGGGGGTTGGGCGGGTTCCGGGTTTAGAGACCTGACGCCTGGCTTCCCCTCCCAGCTCCCCTTCCCCCAGGCCCAGGGACCTGTGCGGTCCTTCCGGGCTTCCCACATACACCCCCGACCCTAGCCACTCGCATAAGCTTGAATCCACCACTATCCACTGTCAGCGCTGGGTCATGGCCCTGCACTGCAACCTGCCGGCATCATGCAAACGCACATGCTGAGATCAGCTGGCTAGGGACCAGTCAGGGACTCTGAGACCCAGCCTCCCAGCTGGCCCTGAGGGTCTCCCCGAGGGCACAGTAAAACACCCAGAAGGTGCAGTTTGTCAGTTGGCAGCCTTGGTGCCCCCACCCCCACCCCCAGGTCTTCCTCTTTCTGCAAACCAAGGAGGCGGATGTGGCTGGCGGGAGTCGGTGGGGGCTTTGAACTGCTGAGGCAGGAGACCCACTTATGGGGGGCGGGGGCAGACTCAAGGCCTCACTCAGGGAGTTGCTAGGGAAGGCCTTTTCCTCTTGACCTGGAGCAGCACCTGACCATCTCTGGGCAGGGAGGGAGCCTTCCTGCTACTGCTGTTTGGGTGGAAATGGAATCATTTCTTCCTGGTCTTCAAAGAGTTTGGGATTCTCCATCTGCCAAAAGACACAAGTACCAAGTACTATCCGGATGTGGCCCCGAGCACATTTGGAGGCCCTGTAAACCTGGAAGATGTAGAGGTCCCCTCCTCAATTCACTTGCCACCCTCTTCATCCACCCCCAGGGCGCTGGGCATGATGTTAGGGATCCAGATGGAAATGTCCCCTCCATCCCCAAAGTGCAGCCTGGATGCACTTCGTTTTAGGACTTGGGGCCTCACCCTTTCAGGGATCCCAACCAGCCAGAGGGGAAAGTGCTCTGGCCATGAGCTCAGGGATGGCTTGAAAATTACCAAGAGCTGTCAGAAAGGGAGCTTTGGGTTTTGTATTGGCTTATGAAAACCACCTCTTATATAAATATTATCTTTCTGGAGCAGAAATCCTTTTCCAAAAAAATTAGTTGCTATATTTAGTTGAGCTGTGGGAGGAACTAGAGAGATAAATATTATTTAATATCCTCCATTAGTGACTTGGCAGGGAGGGTGTCATTGCTACAAGAGGGCAAGGCAGCAGGACCTGTCCCCCAACCCTGGGGTGGGGCTGGGGATCAAGGCAGCAGGTCTGGGGTTCCACAGCCTCTTCTGTGCTGCTGTGGCCTCCAGCTTGGGAGTCCTGAATCCCAAGGAAAACTGGAGACCTAGCCCTTGGTTCTGCCTCCAGAGGCCCTGTGTGGCCCTGGGCAACATCCCTCTTCTTTCTGGTTCCCCTTTGTTCGTTGATCCAGCAGAGGGGCTGCCTGAGAAGGAGGGAGCCTCTAGTTCTCCCCCATGTTGTTTTATGTAGGTAAGGGGATCTGAGGGTGAGTGGGCCACTGAGCATCTGTGTGAGGTGATGGATAAGGATGTTGGTGTGGTGTATAGGTCCCCAAAGAGGTGGATGTGCAGTGGTAGGTAGGTAGGTTGGGGGGCCATTGATTGGCTCCCCTAGTTTCCTTCTGCTTTGATAGTAGCAATAATAAAAGCTAATGATCGGGCGCCTGAGTGGCTCAGTCGTTAAGCGTCTGCCTCCGGCTCAGGTCATGGTCCCAGGGTCCTGGGATCGAGCCCCATGTCGGGTTCCCTGCTCGGCGGGAAGCCTGCTCTCCCTCTCCCACTCCTGCTGCTTGTGTTCCCTCTCTCGCTGTGTCTCTCTCTGTCAAATAAAATCTTAAAAAAAAAAAAAGCTAATGTTCACTGAGCACTTACTATGTGCCAGGCACTGTTCTTAGCAAATTTCATCTCTTATTTATTCCCCAAAACAACTCTGTGAAAACAACTGTAGTCATTCCCATTTTACAGAGGAGGTAACTGAGTCACCAGCATGTTAGACAGCTTGCCCAAGGTTACACAGTACTTGGTAGAGCTGGTGCTGGGTACCTGTCCCTCTCCAGCCTTACTTTTCCTGTCTGTACGAGGGAGTCACTGGTTCCACAGGCCCTGGTGGCTGTGCTAGGAGGTGGGTCAGCTAGGCAGTAGCTATCCCAGCCATGCTGCCAACCCCACAGGACCCAGAGAGCCTTCAGATCACTGATTGGCCTCTTCCTCGGGAAGCATTTCAGGGCTCTGGAAGTCCTCAGGTGAGGAGCGGAGAGCCAGCTTCCCCTTCCTGCATCATGCTCTCGCTCTGACCAGCCCCAGCTGAGGAGGAGGCATGGCTGAACTGCAGTATCTACAGGCACTAGGGAGGTCTTTCCCTCTTGGGTGACCTGGAGTGGTATATGCATCTCTGGGGTAGGGCTGACAGAGTTTTGAACCTTAGCTCTGCCCCCTTCATAGCTGTGTAATCCTAAATAAGCCACTTCTCCTCTCTGTGCCTTGATTTCTTCATCATAAGTGAAGCTACAATAGGACCCATGTCATATGGTTGCATATAAGTGTTTGTGCCACCAAGCCATCCCTCCTTGTAGCAGACAAGTCTGGGCCAGGCTCCAGGCCAGCTGGGTGGTGGGGTGGGCCCAACCTACAGGTGGAGGGAAACACCCCAGGGACTAGTGTCCTCCCCCACCCCAGGAGTCTATGCACCTGCAAGGTTGTTAGTGCTGGAAACCACAAAAAAGTCATTTGCTTAAGTCCTGAAGTTTGCAAATTCTGCTGGTGGATGGAGGAAGGGAGGCTGTAAAGCAGGGACTGGGGATCCTGCCCTCCCACCTTCTCTTCCTCCTCCCTCCTCAGAGCTGGGGGATGGGGGCTCAGCAGTGCTGTCAGTGAGTATGCCAGCTGGGGGTCCCCCATACACACAGAACCCAGCCTATCTCAACCCCAGTGAATAGAGGTGTCCTCTGAAACCCCAACAGGGCAGTGAGTGGGAGGCTTCTGGCCCAGCACCTCTTTTTTTGTTTTTTGGGTTTATTTAATTATTTGTTTTTGTGCAAGGTAGTTTTTTGTTTTTTTGTTTTTTTAAATTTTTTTTTGTTATGTTTATCACCATATATTCCATCATTAGTTTTTGATGTAGTGTTCCATGATTCATTGTTTGTGCATAACACCCAGTGCTCCACGAGGAACGTGCCCTCTTTAATACCCATCCCCAGGCTAACCCATCCCCCCACCCCCTCCCCTCTAGAACCCTCAGTTTGTTTTTGAGTCCATCATCTCTCATGGTTCGTCTCCCCCTCCGATTTACTCCCCTTCATTCTTCCCCTCCTGCTATCTTCTTCTTTTTTTTTT